TTCGGGACTTGGTTAATTTTTTCACCACTTTTCAGGTTCATTAGATTTGTTTTTTACCTTTCGGTTATTTATTCTGATAACTCGACATTCAATTACGACGTTTCGCAGTCGTTGGGAATTCTCAGATTCCACAACATTTTTTTATTCACTAAAGCAAAATATTAAACGAAAATTCGACTACTTACTTGCCGTGCAAAAGTTTTAGGAAAATTTATCATTAAAAGACTAGGAACGTTCATGCATACATACATATCGTTACCTAAAGGTGAAAAGGTGACAAGCCCATTTATGAAGTGAAACTTCTTTAGCGGCAATTAGTTCGTTGAGAGTAAATTGGGAAACTCAACGGGAATTGCACACGGAAATGGTTGGAACGAAAGCAAATGCTTCTTAAATGGTTTTAATTTGACATACAATTCGTGAACAGCATGTAAAAAATCGCAATCAGTGGTAATTTCAAAAAGATTTTCTTAATTTTAGAGAAATTGACAGTTGATTTGACAGCTGTCAACTGCCAAGCTATATATTTTATGGCATACTAAGTAAAACAGAGAACGTAAATACATTGATGAAGAAAACGATAAAGGCAAAGGTAAAAATAAAAACAAAAATCAAGATGCAGAAAGATAAATGCAAAAATGGAGATTATAGTAGATTTGAAACCTTTACTTATATAAGTGCAAAGATGAAGGAGAATATATATGTATGTAGATGAAGAAAATAATAAATATAAAGCTAAAGATAAAGATATATATTAAGAAAAAGATGAGGATGAAGATACCGATAAAAGTATAGATGAAGATGGCGGAAGAAAGACTAATATAAAGGTAATGAGATTTTCGGGATCCCCGGGACTGAATCAGGATTTTCAATACTATTTCGATATTCTCGGGACTATTTCGAGATTTTCGAGACTATTTCGAAAATTTCGATACATTTATCGATATTGTTTTCGATATACATATCGATATTGTTATCAACGTAATAATGCGTTTTGTTTTCGATATATTCGTAAACACTTCTGTCGATGTAGTAATCGATAATTTTATCGATATAAAAACCCGTATATTGTTTTTGGTATATTTATGAACATATTTTTATCTACAAACATTGTTATTGATATATTTATCAACATATTTCTCGATACTGTTTTCGATATAACAATCCATTGGTTATCGATTTTCTATCGATATTGTTATCGATAATTCTTCCGATTTTGTTACCGATATAAGCATATATGATTATATTAACTAGCCTTTCGTTTTATTCACAATATTGAAACACTGAAATGCGTATGTATATATGTATATATATTGGTTATGAAACAAACTAAGTATGTACATATCTAACGTAAGTAAGTGTGATCCAGGCGCACTTACTTTTTTGAAATTGTTCAGGAGAGACGAAAAATAGATGCAGTTTTGTTTTACCTGTCATTCGACATCAAAAACTAAATTAAAAAAAGTGGACTCGTAAATTAAATTATATGGAGCTATTTGAATGTTGTCTTCCCTCTGCCCCCTTAAATTTGTTTGGTGCAAATAAAAAAACAAATGCTTCGAAAAAACTTTTAAATCTTAAGTACTATACATTCTTGTGCACTTTGTTCTCTAGTACCTAATAAAGTATCTACTTACCTGATTTAACAACAACATCCCTGGAAACGATTGTGTCCACAGCATTACTGCCACACAATGGTATACCGACCAATGAACATCTTGCCGGAACTCTTCCGCTTGGAATGGTAGGAAATAAAGCGAACCATGTCCCAGACCTGGTAAGAAATGAAGCTGTGAAAAAAGATTATATTAAATTAAGTAAGTTAAAGCAAAATGAATAAAAAAGAGAAAAAGTTTATTTGAGAAGAGCGTTGGGGTTTAATTAAGAAAAATCATTTCAAGTTTTTTAAAACCAGAAGGATTGCAGGATAAATGTATTCAAAATTTATTATATAACACCCACATCTTGTTGAGAAATACCAAAGGCATGGCGATCTGTTGCAAAATACTTGAGTGATACGAACCATAATCGACGGACAAAAGATAAATAAAAACCAAGAGCTATTGGCACGAAATATACAGCAATTCGGAAATACATGACAGTCATCAAAGAGCCATCCACTATACCGGGCATAGGGGCAGTGTTGCCAGGTTGACGATTTGGTCGCCATTTTGAATTTGTTTGTCATTTGACAATTTCTTTTGCCCAATGACAATTTTTCTTTATGTGCAAATTTGGTTTGTTCCCAACTTTGCTGACATTTACACAGACAACAAAAAATTGCAGTGTAAACACTTGTATATCATTTCTGCTAATACATAATTGTCGTATCCAAGTACGGCGGCGAGGAGTTGATAAGGTGCATGCATCAACTCTTGTGCAGAATATGGTCAGATGAACGCATGCCCGACGACTGGAATTTAAGTGGGCTCTGCCCAATCCTCAAGAAAGGTGACCCCGCCATTCGCGCCAACTACCGCGGGATCAGCCTTCTAAGCATAGGTTACAAGGTCTTATCGAGCGTATTGTGTGAAAGACTGAAGCCCACCGTCAATGAACTGATTGGGCCTTATCAGTGTGGCGTTAGACCTGGCAAATCCACCATAGACCAGGTATTCACAATACGCCAAATCTTGGAAAAGACCCGCGAGAAAAGGATCGACACTCACCACCTATTTGTCGACTTTAAAGCCGCTTTTGACAGCACTAAAAGGAGTTGCCTATACGCCGCTATGTCTGAATTTGGCATCCCCTCAAAACTCATACGGCTGTGTAAAATGGCGTTGAGCAATACCACCAGCTCCGTCAGAATTGGAAAAGACCTCTCCGAGCCGTTCGCTACAAAACGGGGTTTCAGACAGGGCGACTCCCTGTCATGTGACTTCTTTAATCTGATGTTGGAGAAGATAATAAGAGCTGCAGAACTGAATCGCTCAGGAACAATTTACTACAAGAGCGTGCAATTGCTAGCTTATGCCGATGACATCGACATCATCGGTAACAAAAACCGCGAAGTCTGTTCTGCCTTTTCCAAGTTGGATAGGGAAGCAAAGCGCATGGGTCTGGTGGTAAACGAGAACAAGACGAAGTATCTCCTGTCATCAAACAAACAGTCAGCACATTCGCGACTTGGCACCCACGTCACTGTTGACAGTTACAATTTCGAGAAAATAGAGAATTTCGTTTACTTGGGAACCAGCATTAACACCGATAAGATTAACACAGAAGCATGGACAATGACAACATCCGATGAGGCGGCTCTTGGAGTGTTTGAGAGAAAGATTTTGCGGAATATTTACGGGCCTTTACGCGTTGGCGACGGCGAGTACCGCAGACGATGGAACGATGAGCTGTATGAGCTTTACAACGATATGGACATAGCTCCAGTTTTGAAAGTATTCAACTCGGAACCCGCTGGTGGTAGCAGAGGAAGAGGGAGGCCCCCACTGCGATGGAAAGATCAGGTGGAGAAGCACTTGGCTTCACTTGGCGTTTCCAATTGGCGTCAGTTGGCACAGAGGAGAAACGATTGGCGTGCTTTGCTAAACTCGGCCAAAATCGCTTAGGCGGTTACAGCGCCAAAAAAGAAGAAGAAGAAGAAGAAGAAGAAGAGCAGCACTAACAGTAGTTGTCGATAAGTAGTTTTCTCGTTTGTTTCATCACTATTTGTGTAGTTTTGGGGGTCAATTTCGTAGTTTTTGCGTTATTTACTGATACATGTTTTATTGAGCGAAGGAAATTATGAATAAGTTATTTAGCAAAACTTGTAAGTATGAACAGTGTTTAATGCACATAGTAAAGTTGCAGTTGGCAAATATTTGACTTGTTAAAAGGAAATGGTTGTTCTTGCTTTGGGTTTTATCGAAACACCGATATCCTTAAAATTTTCAAAAATGAAATGTAGCATTCAAAATTTTACCTGATTAAAGCTTAGTACACAGTTCTCAAGAAATTCGAAAAAATGCTTATAAAATCACACCTAAGAAATGAAAAAGAAAAGTTTTTCTATACAAATTTCTTAAATCAGTCTGAAGATCTTAACGCTCGTATATTTAGTTCGTCAAGAAAATTTACACCAGCGACAAAGTTCTTTTTCAAGCAACAAAAATAATGAAACAAATTCTTGTGATTTTTCTAGAAAGCTGTAAAACATAACATGTACTAGAGAAAAACTTTGTGGCAAAAACAAATGTTATACCACTTATCCAAAGTTTCACTAATTAGTTTTAAATTTATCAGACTGTTAAAATTTAAAATGTTTAATTTTCCGAACAAAATTGTGTAATTTAAAATTTTAACAGGCTGATAAATTTTGAAATTGATTAGTGCAGCCGGGCATTAATGATCTCAAAATTAAGATGAAAATGCTATTTTATTGCAAATAAAAATATTTTTGTTAAAAGTGATGTCAATTTTAAAAAAAAGCAAGGAAGTTAAACTTTTTATTTTTACGTATATCAATCACAAAAAAACCAAAAGAGCTTCCTGGTTCTGTTAATTTTAATTTTTTTATATGTTGACCATTTTTACATGCAAATGACGAATTTTGATAACCAAACTGACAATTTCTCATTTCAGTGACCTGGCAACACTGGACAGGGGTGGGAAACAATGAAATTTTCGTACCGCAAAAAAAAAAGATACCGGCACGAATATTTTTATATTTACATGAACGCATAGATACCCTCAGCGTCTTGGCGCGTTTTTGTTGCTCCATCGTTTGCTGCACATGGAGCGTTGACTTTACATTGTGCTCGATGCGGCATTGTACTCGACGCCAAGCCATGAAATAAAATGCGAAGTTGCTATATTGTCTGACCGTCCGTTAATCTTCCTGACCAACAACACCCTTCATTTGTCTGGAGTTGGTAGCTGAGAGCCCCACCCGCCTGCCTTGATTCTACTTCTTTCGTGCTTTATTTACTTTCTCCGGCTGTCCACTCTTCCTTCTACTCTTCTCCATTCGTTCCTTCGTTGCTGCTAGAGTATCGAAATAACACGGGCCACACAGCCAGCTAGCGACCCGGCGAGGCAGCCACCAATGGCGGAAGTTTGGTTCAAGTGGTTATTGATTGAATTTGTTCGAAACTGACTCAGTCACTGCTTCCTGCAGGTCATTGTTGCTTTTATTGTCATTTTGCTGCTTTTGTGTTTGATTTCTAGTGGCATTTATTTCGCTTTATGTATAAGCACTTATGTATTTACGTACATATATGTGCACTGTGCATTGTGTGCGTCGGTTGTGCTGCTCTTGTTTCGAGTTTAGAGCAATCTTGAAGGGCCTTCCCCAATGTTTTATTCTAGCGCATGCAATGGTAGGCTGTCATTCTACTGGTATCCAAGTGTACTTAAAGTTTAAAGCAATTTTAATTATTTATTTATAAGAGAAAGCTTGTCAAGGCTCATTTCGAGTAAGTTCCGTACCACTACAAATACACTTACTAGGGAAGTGAATTCAATAAAGTGTATCGTTAGTATAAGACATCGTCGCTGATATTCAAAAAAGCCACAACTAACTACAATTTTGTATTGCATAAAACGATGTGGGGACTTATAATTCGATGAGAATCAATATAATCAATCAAAAAGTGGGCTTTGGATTTTTAGTTAGTTATGACTTTGTGTAAGAAATGGGGGTTGAGTTATAGTATATACCGCTGGATCTACAAAGCGGTGGTTAGACCGATTCTACCTTATGGAATTATAGTGCATTAGCGGAACAATCAGGACAACGTCAATTTTCACAGATGGTTCAAAAATGAACGGTAGAATGGGAGAGGGTTCTACCCCCGCTGTCCTGCCCTGACTGGAAATGAATAACAAAGGTAATATTTATGTGATTAACGAAAACGAAAACTAACTTGAAGCTTGCTAAATAAATAAAAAAAAACTCATTTTCAAAATGGACTCTAATTTGCATAATAATATTCCACTTTGAGTACAGCTATAAACAAATAATATAAAAAAAACTTTTTAATATACAACGCTTTTATAAATGGACTTAAAAGTAGAAAATAATACTTCTCAGTCCCATAGAATTTGTTTTGATAACTTTTGATTTTGAAATTTTAGCAAAAGTCATTATAAACAATCTATGAAATTGAAAATGAAAAACGTGGAGCGCACGCAATACAAAGCATTCGATTTAATTGACAATAGTCAAATTACATAACGTAGACCTAAAATTTCTACAGCGAAAGTAGAACTTTGAAATCGATTTTAAGCGGTCGTGATTCATATACCCACATACATACATACATATATTACTTTTCATATCAATTCAAGTGTATTACATGCGCCCCACGCTTTTCATTTTCAATTTCATAGATTGTTTATAATGACTTTTGCTAAAATTTCAAAATCAAAAGTTATCAAAACAAATTCTATGGGACTGAGAAATATTATTTTCTACTTTTTAGTCCATTTATAACAGCGTTGTATATTAAAAAGTTTTTTTTATATTAATTATTTTCTACTTTTTAGTCCTGTCTGAATAAAATTTTGCAATAGATATTAAAATAATTCAACGATATTAATAGATAGGTGCACACACATGCATTTACATATGTATGTACATACAAACGATCACCAATTAATTTTATTTAAAGAAATGGCGTGTCGTCTATTTCCGCCGATATGCGTGTATAAACCCTCCTCAAAGTCTAGCCAAAAAGCCAGCAACTCACACAACAGGTTCCCCAGAGCAATTCGCTCGAGAAAGTGGTATCCGGTACACGTAATACGCGGCACACAGCACAACAATCCGCCAAAACAGGCAACCCGGCCCAAAACTACCACCGTAGAAGGCAGAAACCCCGAGCGGCAGTGCAGGAGCCCAAGAATTACCATTAAAACCAACTGGTCCGAAGATAAGTAGTTTCGGACTAGTCCCAAACTGGTTCCCAACTGGTCCCCGGACTGGACCCCGGCTGGTTACCAACTGGTCCCACGAACTAGTTACCAACTGGGCCCAAAGTGGTTACCAACTGATCCACCTATACCTCAAGTGGTCCACAAGTCACTTCACTTACAAAGCATTCGATTTAGTTGACAATAGTCAAACTAATTTTATTTAAAGAAACGGCGTGTCGTCTATTTCCGGTGTAGCAAACGTAGTACATAGGGCGACATCTAGATGTCATCTACCTCGCCCTATTCACTATGCTTTTTTATAGGAGCTTTTCAAAGCTTTGCTTTGGTGTCGGAACACAACATTGAAAGTTTCTGGATCCACAACATTGAAAGCTTCTGGAACACAACATTGCAAGTTGATAAAAGCGTTGTAAAAATTGGTTTCATTTGGCGGTCTTCAAGCTTTGTGGAGAATACAAATTTTCAATTTAGAGTTTGTAGGCTGAGAATCATGTTGCACTTGTTTGCATTTTTTGAATAATGGCCTTTTTCATTAGAAAACTTCCACTTGTGTTTTGCCATGCTTTTCGATGTTTGAAAAGCAGCAGATGAAAAACACTGCTGTTTTAAACATTTTGCTGCGAAACGATAACGCCATATTGGATCCGCTATTTCCAATTTCAAAAATCTGACCTCAGATTTAAATCACCGAATTCGAAAACCCCTTATGTATAAGTTTTTGGTGAAAAGAAACAAAATAATAAAATTTGGTGGCCATATTGGATCCGCCAGTTTGAATTTAGAAAATCTGCTAACAGCATATGTTGAAAAGGATCCGCCATTTTAAATTCGAAAAATCTTACATCAGATTCGAAATCATCGATCTTGAAAACCTCGCATATGTATAAGTTTTTGGTGAAAGGGAAAGATATATAAAATTTGGTCGCCATATTCGATTCGCCATTTTGAATTTCAAAAATCTGACATTATATTCGAAATCAGCGACCTCAAAAACCCTACACACTAAGTTCACCAACAACACTAAGTTTCAAATCAATTTGGTTACTTCTCGACTTTTGGGCAGCAAATTATAGTCACAAAACCATGGTGCACTGCCCTATAGGTAAACACGCAGAACGGCGAGGAGTACCTTAGCATAGATGCTGCAGATTTTGCTAGAACTATGAGAAGGATAAGGCAGTTCCCCACCTTCTCTGTAACTGCCCGGCATTATCGAGAAGCAGATTGTGATTTCTGGGCTATCCCTTCTTTAGTGACCTTGGAAAACTGGGAGATTTAAACCCCAGAAGCCTGAAGAGTTTCGTCAAGCCTTCAAAAGGGTTTAGTAAGGGGGAATGAAAACTCTTAGTCGTGTTATCACAACGGGCCTTCAACTCGTGGCCTACGAGTGTCCCTGCGTAGGAGTGACAGCCATATCTACCTACCTACCTATGGCTTTGTGTTACGCCCTTTCCGTATTATACTAGCGATATGTACATTTATGGTAAATTAATTTCGTTTTTGAATATTAAAATAATTCATTTTAAAAAGCTAAGAAATTCTTACTGCAAGGGTCTGAACTTCTTGGGTGCCTTATACTGAGAGAGTAATACTCAGTTGCTTCCTTAATCCAAATATTTTGCTGTCCAATGTCGTAAGCCTCGATTTCTTACAGACATATTTGACTGTAAACTGAGTGACTGTAGTCTTACCTCATTTTAATGAGCAGAACCCCAGTTAACCTTTTAATCGGATCAGCTCTCCCAATTTAACTCAATCGCTAGGCGAAAAAGCTGTCGATGCAGCAATTTTATCATTGCAAAGACATATGTAACTCAGCATCCCACTAGATTTCCTCCGTCATGTCAACTTAGATTGCAATCCGAGCCGATGATCCCGGGAAACTCCCTACTGCGAATAGAAGCTTTGTGGAAAAAAATGTACCATGTTGAGCAAGATGGCTTAAAAAGGTCCTACACAAATTTTCAAAAATAAATCGAGAGGAAATACCTTCTCAAATAAAATGTAGATGCCCATAACTTCAAAGGAACCTTTAAAATCCTCTTCAGGAATCAGTACTATTGAAATAAAGCCGAAAAGTTCTCGAATGCTCTTTCCAAAAAATGCTTCAACAAACTAGCGCTTTTCTTTCTTTGAAGGCCTCGCTTTGGCATATTTTTGCATGGATCATTGCGCGGCTAGATTCGCACTAATTTGCTGTTTCTCTAGTATGATCGGATGGGAGGCAGCATTCGAACGGAAGCAGCGAAAATTTCCATCAACCTCAAATAAGGGCTTTGAAAGTGGTCGATTGGATGCATAACTGTGTGACGTCGAGAAGGACACTACTAGCCGAGCGGCTAAAAGTGCCTTGGGCTATCTCATGGTGCCCTTACACCCCTACTGTGTCGCACCGTTTTTCCAGTTACGTCTGATTATTTCCTAATTAAACTACTATAGGCACTATATCACAATTTCAAATTGACTAATCGTGGGATGAGAATTACATCAGAAAATCATTACTCCGGGAGCGAGTCTGCACAGCGGCGGTCTGTCCGACAGTTTTTAAAGCCAGGGGGCTGGCCTCAAAATACTCTAATGGAGCAGAATCACCGTCGGTTAGTCGATGCAACACCATTAACTCTGAAAGCTCAGGGCATTCAGATATCAACAAAATGGTGCAACGAGTTAAACTGAAATTCAATTTTGGCTTCGTTCAATTTAACTCCAAGGAGAGGTGAACTTGTCAACGTGCCCTAGACAGATTTAACAGTATAGCTGCTGGCGCTGCTGCAAGAAAAGATAATACACGTCTTGTTTGAGAACTCAGTTGCCGACATAAATCCGGAATTGAAAAGGTGTTTTCTTCGAAATATATGTCTTCGTGCCCCCTGCTAAAATTCTCAAAGAGCGAAAAATGAGCGCCCAAAGCATCAAAACCAATTGTGGTGTGAACGTCAGCCTAGTGGTGGAAAATTACTTCCCTCCAACTCGTGTTATCTCAGACTACATCCCCCTGAGCCCTCACCTCAGCAAGGAAAAGCACTTCAACAGTAACCCATCCAGATTCGCGCCCTTCTTCCATCCCCTACACCAAACTACCAAACAGACGGTTGATCACTATTGCATAGTTAGAACTAAGCAACTATATAGGCAAGCTGGCGATACATCGCCGGAGGTTATCTCAGTCTCAAAAAAGGATTAACAATGTCCACAACTGCATTAGGAGCGATAAAGACTAAAACGATATGCGTTTAGAATTGACGAATATCTCTAAAAGCTTTTCAATCGATCAGTCTTTGCCCGGTCTCGGAACGTGATGGTATTCTCGGAAATGGAGGAGATACGAGCTAGCTAGTTAGGGATCTGAGATAAAATTGCCAGAAACGGTTCAGCCGGTAATACCCTCCTTGTGCTTCCTGTCTTTCCAAGTTGAGAACACAGCCATAGCATTTAGCTCCCCGGCCACTGCTCCATGAGCCAAACGTTAGGATTCTAACAGAAATACTAATGCGACACCGGACCATTGGCTACAAGGCTGCCAGGTCTGTACCATCGCATAATGATTTCTGTAAAAATTTTGAAAATTAAAAGGACAAAGAATGGATCCAATATTTCCTAAGTTAGCAAATGCCCGCACACCCGAGAAAATGTGACAGATTTCTGGTCTGCTAAAATAATACAAAAAAAATCAGATGGTTTAAAGACATGAATTGTTAGGTATGAGAAGTTGCGATTCTGGGCATCTCAATGGGCATATGCGGCCTCCGTCTTAGCTCTTATGCCCGTAGAACCTAACCTAAAGCAACCATTTACACGTAAGGTTGAAAAAGTTACCAAGTTATCAAACTGACCACGTATTTTCTGACCTAATCTATGTTTCATTTTGGAACCTTGGAATGTTTTGTTAAGAGTTATGCTTTGAGCGGTTTCTCGTAAATGGCGCTCATCGTTAAAATTCTTTAACTATGCAGTTACTTTTACAAAATCGAAATTTCTTTCGTTTATTTATTAGTCATAAGACTCTAAAATACATGCTACAACATTGTCCTTCAAAATAAATCTATTGAATAGATTCTCTATTGAGGAAGTATGGCATATTCATTCAATATTTTCAATTTTGCGTGAATGTCATTAATGGCATTTAAAAAAATCCTTTACGTAATCTTTTATAACTAAAATAAAAATGAAATGTATGTAAAGAAGCGCGACGGTAACTATTTTTCGCTTTTCTTTCCTTCTTCTCATGACATATTCTGTCTGTGTGTGGCTGCTTAAAGTTTGTCTCTAACTCCATTGAAATGTTACCTTTGATATTCAGGTGATAGGATTATTATCCTTATCCAGCCATTCGAAATTCGGTGGCGGATTGCCATGCGCTATACAATCGGCAATGCTGCCAGCCTTGTTGGTGAATTCAATAGACGATGGCGGTTCATGCGAGAAATTAGGCCCTTCAGTGTCAAATTAGTTGGAAGCATCTGCAGAGGAGAATGGAAAAATTCGAAATTAGACAAATATACATACATTTAGCGGAATAAAAGTAAAGTCAAGTATGTATGTATAAAAAATAGTAGACGGGTTGTGGCACAAATGGCAGTGTGTTTGTGTGTTTCTCTCTGGTTTGTGTCAATAGTATCAAGTTGGCAAATTACAGATCAAATTTGTATCATTCCTAGATTTTATTTATGTCCACAAGAAACTAACGTTAAATGCGATGATTGCTGATGCAAACTGCAGATAAGAAAAGTAACCAAACACCAACGCCGCACAATGTGCCATATGACGACATTAGCCGGAAACAAATCTAAGTGGAATTTTGTTATTTTGATAGTTCTAACTTGTTAAGATATGTCCAATTACATAGAAAAAATTATTCTTTGGCCCACTTTAGTAGCTTTTTTGTAGGTCAAATTCGATATTTTTAAACTTTGATTTCTAAAAATTACATAAATGAAATAAACATTTTTGGAAAGTGGTGTGTTGTTTATCACAGTGGTGTGCCAGAATGCTAAAAAGAACGTACTTGGCATAGAAATTGATGCTCTTTTTTATGAAATAGAAACAACTATTATATGATGAGGGACGTACCTGGAGTAATCTGTCAAAATTAGGCGAACACTTCCGGACAGTCTATGTAAACACTGTACTGTCATGTACTTTTCTTAAAATTTTTTTGTGAAACTCTTCATGATCCCTACTTTTAGATACTGCTAAAGCCAGACTTTGTACGACCTTGCACGACCTTGCAACAATGTTTTATTCGATATCGTATCAAGCAGATTCTGTACGAATAAATGGTCATAGTTACCTAAGATTTGCGACTGATGAAGCAGATGAAAGTTCACACTCCGCCAGTGACATTTCGCAGATATAACTCAAAAAATATATACATAAAATGAATATGTAGTTATAAGTTATATATTAATTAAAAAATAATTGAACATATTATGCAATTTTACATTCAAACTTGAAATAGTGTTTTCTTTACAGTGTAAAGCTTTAAAATTAATTTAAACTGTAAATACGTTTTTCGATTATATTAGTCTCAGAGCTCTTGAGAAGGTTAAAAACTATATTTCCAACATCTACATAAACTCCTCTTTCCCTTCATCAGAATCGGCAGAAGTTATGAGAAAGTATGTACCTCGAAGGTGTTCACACGGTTTTTGTCAGGACTGGGCCAAAAATCAATATTTTTGCATCACACGTTTGGGTACCAAATGGCGAAGCAAATGTAACCATAAATAGGATTCTTTAGGATAGTTCGTAATCCCTGATCCCCCTTTCGGAAGAAACATCCTTCTAAAAACGTATTCACAAAATAGCAATCATTCAATGCGATTTTGAGATCTTGGAGAAAATGTTTCCCATTTGAATGACTCTTGCTATTTTCTATGTTTATAGATGTAGGTGTATCCATAACTAGTTTCAGTGATAAGCGATATGGAAATTGCAATTTGTATGGGAAATGCCACATCCCCTTTTCCAATACAAACCATTTTTCGCCACAAGTACGAAATTGATAACATATGTAGCTGTGTCAAATTGCCGAACGTTAGCCAAAGCGGCTCCAGAGATAAGCGATATGGGAATTTCAGTTTGTATTGGAAGTGCCACGCCCCTTTTTCCAATACCAAGTTTCAGTTCGCCAGCGTGATTGGTTTTAGAAAAATATCAGACGCCACGCCCCCTGTATAATGGAGCTAACATTTCTAGATTAGAGGAAGTTATATCCTTTCAAGCGAATGGTGCCACCAAAAAAGGGGGTTCAATATTTTATTGTGACGTATTTAAATATATATAGATACCTTCAATACACCGTTTTTGCTACAAACCCTCCTCAAAGGACATCTGATGTAGTCTAATCAATCCTTGATCAAGGTAAATTTTTGTATGGCGACTTTTTACAACAAATCTGAGCACCTGAAGCAATAAAATATTTTTTTGCGGTTAACTTGTGTGAGGCGGCCCACTGTTCGCCGGGCGCCGAGCGTAGACATTGCAATCTCTTGAGTGCGCACTGAAGAATGCCAGCCAGCTATGGCTGAATCAGTGATGGAAAAGTAGGCACAATAGTGCCATTTTTGGCACTTTCATTCTCAGAGGCACTTTTAGCACAATGCATCCTGGTTTGGCACAATCATAAAATAAAGAAATTTAGCATAAAATGCCAATATATATGAAACAAGTAAGAAAGTCTAAGTTCGGGCGGAGCCGAACATTAAATACCCGGCGCAAGTATTAAATATATGTTTTCCACCTTTCCGAAAGCTGCCGCTACATGATAAGCCGGGGTGTATAAATTTTAAGTAAATTAGCGTCCTTAAATTTCAAAATATTGAAATTTCAAGCATTTCTGAAATTTACCGGTTATATGAAAAACGGCCGTAATTTTAGTCCGATTTCAACAATTTTCAACGGTTTGCTTTTGTGTGGCAAGACAATAACCGTACCGAGTTTGGTACAAATTGGTAGAACGGTTACCGAGACACATATATGTGATCATAAGTGGGCGGTGCCACGCCCATTTTCCAAAATTTTATCACAAACATATTTCTTTGTTAAGAAATGTTGCACCCATCAATTTTGAAAAAATTAGCTTTAATATTTACTGATTTATCGAGGATTTCGTATTTTTCTAAATTACCGTTATATGGGATGTGGGCGTGGTTATTGTCCGATTTTAAAAATTTTCGGCCATTTGGTATGCTGTACCAGGACCAACAACTGTGCCAAGTTTGGAGGAAATTGGTGCAGCGGTTACCAAGTTATACACATGTAACCATAAGTGGGCGTGGCTACGCCCGTTTTCCAAAAATCAATAATATTCTTATTTTTCGTCTAAAACTCATTGTAAATATCAATTTTGAGTGAATTATCTTTAATAGTTACTAAAATATCGCAGTTTTCGTATTTCTGAAACTTACCGTTATATGGGAGGTAGGCGTGGTTATTGTCCGATTTAGCCCATTTTCAATACCATCCGTCCTACGCCCAAAAGAAGTCCACGTACCAAGTTTCGTTAAGATATCTCAATTTTTACTCGAGTTATCGTGTGCACGGACGGACGGACGGACGGACAGACAGTCACCGCTTAATCGATTTCTCTTTTCATTCTGATCATTTATGTATACATTTGTCTATATCTATCTCGATTCGTTTTGCCTGTTACAAACAACCGTTATGTGAACAAAGTTATAATACCCTTGTGCACAAGTGCGCTCGGGTATAAAAAAGTTAATGAAAAAAATAGGCGAAACTGGTCAAAATGCCTCAATGCCATTATTTCCCATATAGGTGCATACATATGTGTGTAAAAATGTAATAATAGCTATATTTCGGTGTATTTCCTGTCCGTAATTGGAATTCTGTGTAATTTTACTATGAATTTATGTATCCTTATGTCCTTCATAAAAGTGATTTACTGTAATTATTTAGTTAACTAATAACACTGGTCTACAAATTTCAACTTTTTTTCTGCGAATAAGACGGGACCTGGTGTTTCTGAACGGATTTTTCGTGCTGAACACGAATCCGGGGTCAAAAATGTCCCATCACGTCACGTTTTCGAGAACAAAGGGGTTGAAACCCCTAAAAACAGCGTTTTTGGCCATTTTCGAAA